TGTTTTTTACATATGGAGATGATGTGGTTCTTTGGGGGGAAGTATAACTTGTATACCTATCCATAGGCCTAATACTTATTAGAGAGGTCTACTTTTGAAAGGAAAATTTTTAAAAAACATATCAGAAATAGTCTCTCATTTTGAGCCCACTTTATCTGAGATGGTATGCTGAATATGAAAGTGACTATGATAAATATTTTTACATATTTACATTTTTATCCGATGAAGTAAGACATTCCCTTTTGTCAAAAGAGAATAGGTTTTGAGGGTCATAAACTCACCCTTGGCCAATAGTGAGATTAAAAGTCACCCTCAGAAATAGTGATTTCTGATATGTTTAAATGTATAAGCCAATTCCTTTCCATTATTACACAGAGTAAAGGGTTATTTCAATCCTTTTAAAATTTATAAGATATGCATTGATAATTAACTATACAGAAGAGTCAAAGGACAATATAAGCTTATTGTGCAGAGTTCTTTGACTTTTATAAGCAGCCAAAATCTACATTTCAGTAATAGGAGGAACATTAGTACCAAATTATGCTACCCAGTGTCCCTTGCTTCAAACATGAGTGAACCCAAGGTGCCTGAGTAAGGACACGGTCTCTCTTAGTGCACCCAGCACCCAAACAGAGAGGAGACAGTCAGTTTTGTAACCTTTCTACGGTTCTGACACAAGTGAGTCACACTGTGGATTTCATTATATGGAAATGCTTAGGTTTCTAAAACTGCTAGTTGAACCAATTGCTTGTATATTACTATTTTTATACTTGCTATAATTAAGAGTGAATGAATTTATGTCTAAAGAGGATAAATGAATAAAGATGACATTGGTTCAAATAATTTTGTTGCGAATGTGAATAATCAATTCACTTATTAAATTATGAGCTAAATTTCAGCAGTGTTAGTACAAAAGTTGGCTCAAATACCTATGAAGAGTAAGTTAGTTTCTTAGAAAGAGCAGGACATATATCCTCTCATACCCCAGAAAGACACACTATAATCTTACTCTGCTAAATGAGAAACAGGAACTAAAAGAGTCACTATGTCATTTTTTTGTCTCAAGTGTTTTTTCATGAATTACTCAATTTTAATTTCATACTTTTTCTTTTTTAGCTTTGAGGGAACTGTATAAAATGTGCTGCTGTTTAACTCTGTCAAAAGTACTTATTATGAAAAAAATACTTAAAATTTTTATAATATTTTTTACACGAAGAGTAAGATGATCAGGGATAAATGCATTGTCACCAACAGGGCTCCTCCTTGATCATTAAAACTATTAAGGAATGATAATCCTTAAATATTAGCTTCTGATTCAGAGAAGCATTTTGAACTGTTAGCATTTCCCATCCCCAAGTGAAGCCTGTTTTTTATTTGTTTGTTTGTTTTAATTGTAACAATTCAAATGTCATGCTAATGTCACCAGAGGGCCCACAACAAAGAGCAATATAAGATGTGTGGTCATTACTGTGCATGAGACTATTTCAACTTCCTTGTTTTTGCTTAACATTCTTCATCTTTCCTTTTGCAAAATTATTGAGAAAAATTCCATCGTTATATAAAAATAATGGAATCCAGGAACAGGAATGGGAGTGGAGACACCAGGAGGGTAGTGGGAAGGTGGGAAGAGCCGGGGATGAAGGGGGATGCATCGCAATGATGGACACCTGAGCACATCCCCCACCAGGGAGATGAACAACCGAAAGCACGGGGAAGGGAGACAGCAGCAGTGTAAGATATGAAAACAATGATAATTTATTATTTATCAAGGGGTTGCAAGGTGGGAGGCGGCAGAAGGAGGACACCAAGGGCTCAATAGAAAGTAAATGTGGCAACATATACACAAATGTACTTGATATAATTGATGTATGGACTGTTATAAGAGCTGTAAGAGCTCCCAATAAAATGAACTTTTAATTCAAAACAAATCTAGTATCATCCAGGTAACTTACATCTATAATACAATTTCTTATAGACTGTGTGACCATGACAGTAACAGTCAAGAAATCAAATGATGTATTATTTCGGGCAAATCTACTGTGAATTATTTTTTTTAAGTGTTAAAACAGTGAAGATGTCACTTTAAAATCTAAGATGAGCTTCAACCAAATTGTGATGATTTTCATAGTCTCATACACATGAAAACCTGGAGCACGGGGTTTCACCTGATTGGTGCCTTTGAATGAGGGTGTTGATGAAGAATATAGATCACGCCATGGACTACCAGAAGAACCAGCAACTTTGTTTTGAAAGGACAGCAAGAGTGCTCCTTAGAAATGAGACTGGCAATATTTCATTTTAGGTACTTGGGGCATTTTTTCAGTCCTTGGAAGACATCGTGTTTAGTAGAGAGTGAATCAGTGAAATACAGGAAGATTATTAAGTAGATGGGTTGACACAGTGGCTGCAACAATTAGTTCAAGTACAGCAAGGATTGTGAAGATGGCACAGGACTGGACAGTATTTTTCTCCCCATGTACCCGGGGTTGCTATGAGGCAACACTGACTGTTGCACCCAACAACAACAACAACAACAACAACAACAACAACTATAACAACAACCGTCTGTTCTTCAGATGAAGATGTCAAAGCTTTGATGATTTGCCAAGGTCTAAAGAGAAAATCAGTTAAATAATGACTTAAAATGGAAATAGAGTTTGCTTTCTTTAAAGACAAGTATATTGCTCATAAGGAACCCTGGTGCTGCAGTGATTAAGTGCTCAACTGCTAACTGAAAAGGTCAAACACATCAGCCGTTATGTGAGAAAAGTTGTAGCCAACTGTTTCCATGAAGATGTACAATCTTGGAAACCCAATGGAACAATTTGACCCTGTCTCCTAAGGTGGCTGTGCATGAGAATCAACTTGACAGTTGTGGTTTTGGATTTAGAGGCTACTAGTTGTTCTCTACCTTTTAAGAAATGAGTTTTATGTTTTAGAGATAGCTGACTAAAATTTGAAAATTTTAGTTTATATATGCATCTTAATTAAGAAAAATTTAAAGTACCTTGGTTATTGAAGTTGTGTTCTATTAGTTAAATGTAGTTCATAAAAACTTATCATTGTTACAATCTCAGCTATTTACTTAGTACAAAAGAGTAATACACTAAAGATTAATTAAGAAATGATATATACTTTGTGCTCTTAAAAATATGATAGCATACGGAGAGCCTTGTCTTCTGAAAACAAAACGAAACAAAACAAAACATACTATCGACAAAAACAAAAACTTTCCCTTCAGACTCCCAAATCAATAAAGTAGATCTTTCCTAAGATTACCTGTTTCTTTTTAGTGGATTGAAATGTGCTCCATTAAGTTTTGGTTAGAGTCAAGCTTTATGATCTATTTATCATGCAAACAAAGTCAAATTATATCTCTAAAAATATAAGTAAAACTTCAGTTAAGTGACTGGCCAACTCTTCCCACCAGAAAAATATCAGCCTTCATGGTTCACCATGTATATAGTGGGAGTAATGATGAACCATGTCAACTTTGTGCTCAGAGGCAAAGTGAGATTTATCTTGCTTCACATTTCTTGGTGAATTGGACATCTTGGTAACTTCAGAAAAAGTTTACAAGTAGTCTATCCATCGATTGGTAACTGGTTTGTTCCGGTTTTGCCAGGGCCATTATTTAATCTGCCCAAGACTTAATGTAAGCAGTCTCTGGATGCTTGAAAAATGTTTCTAGATAATTTGCTTATAACTGAATCTCCCCATAGTGAAGCTACAACTCGAAAGGAAATTCATACCCAAACTAGAAGAAAAGAGCCACAGAGATGATGATCAAATTTCCCTCTTTTGTCCTTTCCTTGCCATGGCGTAGAGCACAGTCAGACTCTCCGAGACGCTCACTATGTTTGATAAACTAATCCACTGGGAAAATCCTGCCATCTTTTGAAAACATTTATGATGTACTTTTGATTGAAGTTTCAAAGAAATTTTTCACAGTATATTGCAGCATGGAGTGTGTTAAGTTTTCTGTTTTCATTTGTATATGTTATTTCAACTGCAGGAATGTCAATGTTTACAGTTTTTCCCAGAAAATACTGCTAGAAAGCATCTTCTGAGTACACAGGTCTTGAGAAAGAGGCCCCTACATGCTGTGGGATTGTTTGAAAATGAAACGCAGAAAGATAGTGGCACACTATGAAGGTCCATGTGTTTTCCTTTACTTTCTTTTCAATAAACAAATCTACCCTCTTCTCCTTTCGGAAAGGAAGAGGGAGCAGTCAGGAATGCGCCTCGTCTGCACTCTAAACTAAGCTCCTTCCATTTGACTCATCCACTGGGCTTTTAACCTACTGAGGATTTATCTTCTGAGTACTTTACTTGGAATTCCAGGTCTAAATTTTTTAAAAGATGATAAATCAAACTGAATTTGGGATGTTGAGGTAAATATGTAGGATCGATGCTGACAATGGAGCTTTACATCATGCCTTATTTTCAAGATGTCATTTGACATCATTTCTGAAAAACACAAACAGCTGGATTACAAAACTCATGGGAAAGACAGACTTCTGACCCCGAGGTTAAGAGTGTGTTTCGGTACTGCTGGGCATTGTAAGATTTTCCTTGTTTTCTTTCTGATAATTGCATCCTTTACACTTTAGTAATGTTCAAGCTCAAGTCTTTTATCTAGGCTAAATCAAGAGGAAAGACATTGTTCAGGTTTCATTCATATCTACTGTTTCACCAAAGCAATCATAGAAATAAAATGAGCCATCCTCCTGTAATCATAGCACATACTACACTTCCTGGAAAGATTAAAAGACTTTTCTCCATGATTACAAGGAAATCTTATAATCTGGCTTAAAAAGGAAAAGTCTCTTAACCGTAAAAGTGCATCTTTTTCTACTCTTCTCTGCCCTTCTCATGAGATGACACTGTCTCTTGCATGTCAATTGCAGAGGTGCAAACTGAAATTGTTAACGGTAAGCATATCTGGTGCCAAGAACCGAACAGACAAAGCAGGGAGAGAGGGCCTGTGGCTCACTCACCCAAATCAGAACACTGGACCACTCGAAGATGGCATTGGCAGCGGAAGGGGCACACTGGTATCAAGGGGTCCACTGAAGGAAGCTCAGGAGTAGGCTTCTCATCTGGGCTGAACCCAGAAGCCTCATCTTCTAGCATAAAGTCAAATAAGCCTCTCTGTTGAAATGGTCCTGCCCAGGACACTTGGGCCAGCAGGAGCAGGACAATGGTTGTCTTCATGACTTATCGCATCTATTTTCACAAAGCAGGTTACCTAGGAAAGAAATGAAAGATTTAGGAAAAAGAAGGTTGCCTGTCCCACAACGGAGCAAGAAAAATGCAATGAAAAAATTCTTACTTTCATTTGTTATTAGAAAGCAGGGCATTGAAAATATATTTAAAAACTGTTAAGCGTATTGCAGACTTAATTGCTCAGATATTTACTTATGAACCAAAGTTGGAATTTTATTTACATCTACTTTTTAAAAAAATTATTGTGCGTCTGAATTCAGAAAATATACTGTACTTCACATCGTTTGCAAAATTACCATGGTGGACTTTTCAATGTTCACTCAACACATCATGCCAAAGTGAAAAAATGTTTTGGTCTATATCCTCGATGAGAGAGCTCCATTTTTTACTTTAAGAAAGTCAAACTCATCTCTCCAAAACAAACTCACAGTGTTTGAGTTGATTCCAACTCAGAGCTACGCAGTAGGAGGGAATAGAACTGCCCATAGGGCTTCCAAGTTTGTATGTCTGTATAGAGGTGGAGTGCTAGATCGTTCTCCCTCAGAGTGGGTTCAAACAGCCAACCTTCCAGTTAGCAGCCACATGCTTTCACCACTGCACCACCAGGACTCCTAGCTCCTCTCTCCATCCATCTGTAATGACCTTCCTAGAGGCCCTTCTCATCACTCCCTGAACTGTTGAAGAGCTTCCAGCTAATCCCTGTATTAAACATTCTCTCTTCCCTGGGTCCTTTTCTACTCTGCTGCCTACTGATCTTCAAACTAGATGTCATCAGCTTAATCATCTGTTGAAAACTATTAATTAGCTTCCAGTGGCTTGTCATCAATTCTATATTTCCTCGTGTGACTTATAGCAATTGGCTGCCCACTTACATTTGTAGCCACATTTCTAAATATCTAGATCTATTTTCTTACCACTTGAATCTTAATGCCCCAAACTAATTGCCATCAAAAACACCTACCTTGTAAGAGTGTTGTAAAGAATAAGTGAGTTAATGGGTTCCTTTCTCAAATCCCTCACTTATTCAGGTGAAGAGGCTGCTTTCTCCCTCTTCTGGGCTTCCAAAGAAAGTCGTTCTTACCTCTTTTAAAGGACTTATCAGATATTGTCATTTGTTTTGTACGTCTGGTCTGTACTCTTCCAGGGCGGGTCTTACTATTTCACACCCGGCATTTGAACCTTGCATAACATTTTGCATAAAAGATTGGCTCCATTGGTCATCACTTTATTAACAATAAACTGTATTCAATATGTTACAAGCTACTAACCAATCTTTTCTTTTTATCCAAAAACTAAACAGCACTATATTTTGAAAACTTCAGTTCCTGGAAAAATAACTTTATTGGACACCTAAACCTAATACAAAAACAAACGAACATATTTTTTAAAAAGTGAGTCCATTGTCTGGTTTCTCAAATTAAACTTTTCCTTTTAAATAAGAAGCAAAAACTATAGGAGTTGGCATCAAAAGTTCATGAAGAAAATGGAATTGAAAGATAATGGAATTTTTTCAGTACGTTTTTGAAGTTACTTCATCTATGGGGAAAAGCTAATAGCTTTTTATATGACTGCTCTGGTTTTATGAGCCAGGCTATTTTGTAAAAAGAAAACAAAAACAAAACAACAATGCTCCAATCACTGCTTTGATAGATTCACATAGTATGCATTCCTGCATTCCACAGGCCGAAAAATCAACCATTCTATATTATTGATTTACTTAGCTAAAGTGAACATGGTACTTTCTCAATGAATGTGAATCCCAGAAATAAGCTGATGATGTAAAACAGAACTGGTCTATTGTTAAGAAGATGCATTTAAAATTTATTTTCCAACAGTTCTTACTATTCCCAAAACATTTTAGACATGGCTTGCCTTCATGTGTATTATCTCTATTTATGATAAATGCATGATTCTATACTGAAGCTGTTCATTTGTAACTATCACTAAATTGCTATTCTAACTCACCATCAAATTGTAACATATACCAAAAAAATAACTTAAAATATTTGCATACCCTAATCTTATGTGTTTTCTAGATCCACTAGAGATAAAAGGGACTATTATTTTTTAGTTTTTAATATTTTTGGTCTGTTTATACTTACTACCAAATGAAATGTAAGGCATCACATACAGAAGACAGACTTTTCATTTAAAAAGCACCATATGGATCAGATCACTGTTCACACAAGCACTTTAAATTCAATATCAAGTTTTCTCTAGGAACCCCTTCCCCCAAGTGACTGCATTGCTCTTTAAGAAGAGAGCCTATTGTTTTCGCCTGGCAGGATTTACTTGAATTGGACTTGAGTATGGGTTTCTGTCTGTTTCACATTAAAATGCAATTTTTGCAGCTTACCACAAGTTTTCTGGGTTTGCATATTTAATGTCATAATTTTAGAAGAAAAATGAAGCAAAGTTATTGCATATTTAATAAATAGCAACAAGAGTTAATGCAGATGCCACTTTTTGATCTTGTCTCTTAAGTATAAAGTGCCTATTTCTCTAACATCCCCCGAAAGAAATAATCAAGCATATCTTAGAGTAATATGATCATTAATATTTCCTTCCCTTCATTAAAATATTGCAAATTCTCTGCACAATATCCTTCATGGTAAAGCTGAATACAGAGACACTTAGTAGTCAATAATTTATTTTATATTATGTCCACTTACGGTTTGGGGGTGTGTGTGTGTGTGTGTGTGCATGCATTTTACCTGTAATGTCCGGAGGGGAAAAAGAAGCTCTACAAATTTCTCCAGGGAATAACTTCTTTTCAATTAGTGTCTCAATATTTCAAATCTCAGTCCCTTTAGACAATATACGTTTGTTTCTCATAATAATAATTCCTTGAATCCATTACTTCTTAACACATCAGAAAAGCAAGCAAGCAACCAATAGTAAATCGTCATGTAGAAACTAAGGCATCACTTATCAGTATATATATTTTAAAATTTCATTGAATTTATTTGAACCATTCTCAAAACATATTGCTGTTTCACAAAAAGCTGTTGCCAATATTATACATTTTTATTAAAAAATAAAATGACTTTAGTTCTTTAAATGTACTGTCTCACTTGCCATCAACATTTTTATGATGTTTTTTACATTTTTGGAGTGAGTTTCAAAGTTAAAAAAAAGAAACTTCAGGGGATAGGTGATGCTATCAGCAAAGAAGCATTAATACCCCCCACTAGTGGGTAAAACATTAACAAAGCAATAACCAAAACATTATCAACAAATGTGGCATTTATCCATAAATTGAGTCTCCTATAGGAGGCATTTGGTTCTTTTTTCCACCCTCCTGGTCCAAGTAGCAAGAGGAAAAAAAACCACAGGTATTTCTGTAACTGGGAGCCCACTTACCCAGTGGTCATCCTGTAACCCTGCCTTACAATTAGAAAGAAAAATAACCCACATCTTCATCTCCACGAGAGTGCATCTTACAATAAAACTTCACTTGCATTGGAAAATTGGCATGGGATACATTTACGTTTAAGGAATCTGCTGCTGTGAGAAGATTAATATTCGGCATATATATTTTTTATATTTATGTCCACTTATCTGGTAATAATGTTTTACGCTTTTCTAGGGATGCAGAAATAACAGACTTATTTAGTGAATCACCAGAATTCACTCCTCTGGGATTTTAAAAGTCCTTCAACCGGACAAGAATTCAGGAAGGAAAGAAATCATTAAATAAATAATCGAGCTACAAATAATATGCTAGCCTAGGACACTTCTTTGCTAACACTTCCTCAAGAATTTAACATTTCATTAGGACAAATGCAGAATATATCAATGTAGATAGCCAGGGGATTAGGTTACGTTTCTTTCAATAAATACCCTTGTAAGAACAGAAAAGGATAAAAAAAATCAATTAACACAAGGCATTCAATCATTTTACCAAATCATTCATTTGTTTTCAAGTTAAACTTTTTTCTTCAATGCTGCATAAAGGTTATTAAAAATTTAGTACAATTTTTCTTTTCTTTTTTTTCCCCCCTCACGAAATAATTCTCTTTACTCTCAACTTGACTGAAGTTTTATTAGTCTGCAGCAGACTTCAGGACAATTATTGAAAAGCATACCTTTTAATCCGGGGATTTGCCACAGGAGCCCTCAAAGCTGAGATGTAATTACACTAAATATTCAGCCCCAGAACAAGAGTTTGCAGGTGTGGACAGGAGGAGGGGGTAGGTGCTGCTCTGTGACTGTCACTGGGGTGAGAAGCTCCTGCTTCTACTCCATAGCACAGTTAAAAAGTAAGGTTTCCCTCAGTGAACACAATCCGGCTGACACCCACATTAGATCATATGGTAATGATATGTCTCTTGTATGGAAGCCAGAAACTTTATCGGCCCGTTTTCCCGCCCCTTTTGCTTTATTCCTTTTGCATCTGTTTAAGATTCTCAACTGCTTATGTAGTGCACTGGAACGACTTGCCTTGAAGTGTGTCATATTTTGTTGATTCATTCCCTTAAAATACTTTAAACTAAAGGGTTTGCTGCCCCACCCCCACCTCCACTCCACTCCTTTGATTCTTGTTAGTAAGTAACATTTATCATCCATCCCAAAGAACATGTTTCCTTTCTTCCAGGACGTGGATGTCCTGCAAATGCAGAGAAAGCGATCTTGTGGTTGTGCTCGGTGTGGTCTGAGAAAACAAAAGGAGCAGCGGGATGGGAAATGTTCTCGGGGTCTCTTTGCCTTGCAGTTTGTGTGCACAGTTGAGTGCTGTCTTCCTAGATATTTCTAACATGCTCTGGAACGAAGCCATGGCTTTGTGTAAAAACATGCCCCGCATTATTTTCATTACTCCTGGTTTAAAATCTCTGCGTTTTCCTCTGTTTTCTGTTTCTTTCCCTTAATAAAGCACACGGATATAAGAGTTGACACAATTAAATGTAACCTGTATTTGAAACCTTTGCCTTTAATAGACTATCTTATATATGTATAATCTGGAACTTTGAAAAAACAAACAAACAGTCGATACTGTGATTATTTCCAAATTTTAGTAAATGAGTGTGTGTGTGTGTGTGTGTGTGTGTATGGGGATACAAATCCCCGAAAAGAAAATTAAGTTTAGTCTCTGGAAAGATGTGTGTGTGTGTGTGTGTGTGTGTGTGTGTGTGTGTGTGTGTCTAAGTTCCTTGCTAGGGGCTGCTGGTCCTCGCTGTGGAAGTCTCTCTCTGGAAGTTTTGACTTGTATCATTTGCTGCTCTGGGCCCCAAGCTGTTACCAGGTGGCACAGGAAATCAGCATCTGCAAAGCATGAGAGGTGACCCCTCCTCAGGTCCTCCCTCTCCTGTCCCCATCCACGCCTCTGCACTTCTGGAGTAAATCATCTTTTGCCTTGATGAAACTTGAAGGAATTACATTCTTGAGCCAGTACTTGAAGGAGGGGGAGAGGTCTCATGGCATTGGATTTTGCCTTCCGGTTCCGTTCCTGAATAGACTCCCAGTTCCCAGCACTCAGAACTTCCACACAATTGAACCCACCTGATCTCCCAGGCTGGAGCTCTAACTCACTACGATCCTCCACGGGTTCCAAAGGGTTTCCAACACCTGGTTTTCCTACTCGATGACCGGAGCTTTCCTTTTCCCAAAAGGGGTTCTAGCGACAATTTTTGAAAAACGTTTTATATGTGTGCAAGAAAAAAATAACGAAGACTCATCCTTTTAATTTTAATAAGCATGTCACTTTGAAATACCAAGCATTTTCACAAATATCATCTTAAAATACACATCTTTAATCAGCAGTCAACTTACATATATTAGCACATCCATTTTTAGTTGGAAAAATGAAGTCATCAAAAATCATGGACAGTTAAGTCACACAAGGACTTACCAGAAGTCGGGTTTCTTGCAATCCAACATGAAATGGAACAATTTTGAGAAGAGACAGAATCAGCACTTATGAAGAGATTGCATAAACTCATACTGGCTTGGAACGTATGAGTAAGTTTCACTGAAACATTGACAGCTATATAGGTATTTCAATATTCATATTCAGAGCCCATGTCACATCTGCTGTTGAAACCGCTCAAATTGTGATTTCTACTGACAATCCACAAGCTAACAAGCTAAGTATAATCTTCATCTTGTCAAAGTTTATTTCAGGGCTAGTCGCTCTTTCTCACTCTCATCAGACAAGTGATTTCAATTGTACCTGCATATTAAGGAAGTGCTGAATGCCAGGTCTTAGAAAGGTCTCCTTCTGGCATCCTTTTATTTTCTATGAGGTCTGGAAGCAATAATCATCTTCACAAAGCTGATGTGATGGATTTATTCTTGGATTGACTCTTCCAATGCAGGTCAGAGACTGCAATGGGTTGTCTGGCTCTGTATTCAACCATCATACACAGATTTCTTCCTTAGCCTCAGAAGTAGAGTGCAATGGAATCCAAGAGAGCTTTGAACTTAGCATGGCTTGAAAACCGGTTACGTAGTTGGAAAGTTGTACTTTGAGAAGACTCTTTCTTCACACCTGCCTTGCCTCTCCCACCCCTCCAGCTTACCACCACTGGATTCAGCATTCCTGAGGGGACCCTTGCTTTACAACTTTACACAATGTTGTCAACAACAAATATGACACAGTCCATATGGATTTGCGCTTGTGGTTCTTAATCTCATGTAACCAGCCCTTGATGGGTGAAGTCCAATGGAATGTCTCTTCCACATCTAATATAAAAACGCGTTCTTTTGAATCTTCACCACCCAGATCTTAATAAATATGATGAGACCTTGGCCTTTAAGAGACTGAATAGGTAAATTAAGAAAGGTCTATATATAATTGTGGTGGTAAAAGTGATTGGTTCCTCAACATATCTTCCATGTCAAAGAATTGTCATAGCCAATTATTATTACATATTCCTTCTCAACAATTCCTTTAGGAAAGGTATGTTATTCAGTCCTGAGAGAAGTCAACTGGTGCAACTTCATAAATTGAGATATAGATGAGAATCACCTTTCAGGGATATATTCCCTAGTAAGCAAGTGAAACGCAATCTCCTCATCTCACTGCCATCAGATCACTCCTCCATCACAGAGACCCATAGGACAGAGTAGAACTGCCCATTGGGGTTTCTGAGACTGTAATTCTTCACAGGAGAATTTCTACCTCGGGTGGTTTTGAACTGCTGACCTTGTGGTGAGCAGCCTATCATGGAACCACTGTATCATCAGGGCTCACATAATGCAATCGTGTTTGTGCTTCATTACTCATCTACAGCAAAGAGTATCATGTGTTTTTCATGTACATTTCTACCTTTGCTTGTTTGTTTGTTTTTCATATTTTTCAGGTAATCCATCCCTGTCATGGATTTTAAATATGAAAAGAGGCTTTGATTCTGTAGGAAGGTGATGTAAGGTTAGGATAGAAACAGTCATTCCTAGAAGCAAAATCTTTGATGTGGTGAAGAAAATGTGAATTTGCCCACTGCAGATTAGTACATAAACACAACTAAGCCCAGGTTTACCTTGCTTACTGAGTAATCTAACACTAGTTCCTTTTTCCCTCTCTGGATGTTTTTTTACAACTCAATGTGACGTCTGGAACTTCTTCAGCTAACATGTGATGATAATGAGGTGACACAGAGCAAAGAGAAAAGTTGGTCTAAGTGAGATGACATTTTGAATTGCTAAAGAGACCCTGGTTTCCTATTTAGCAATTAAAAAAAAAAAGGCACACTGAAGTGAAGCCAGAATATTCCCTGTAGAAACAAGGCAATGCTTTTCTTCTCGTGGATTATGAACATGTTCTCTATCAGAAGGGACCAACCGCTAACACGCTACGATCCTGCTGTTACAAAGATGAAATATTTTTTAATAATTTAACTTTCACTTCCCCCCTATACAAATCTGAAACTAAATATTTTAGGCTCTGAAGGTTCCTGTGATTATAACTCAACTCTGTATTGTTTCAATTACTTTTTTAAAATTAAAAGTATTGTCAGACTGAATGTGACCAACAAATGGTAGTTTGCCAACTTCTAGTTTAAGTCCACTGGTGACCTTCTGTCACTGAGAGCTACAAAGATCTTAAGTCATCCATCACCCAATGGGATCTCGTTCTGGGGCTATTTGTCACCGATAGAAAGAAGCACAGCCGTGTAATACCTAAACTAGCAGTGCCCTCACAAGTGTTTCCCAACTCATCAATTATTTGAAGTTAGATTTTAATAGAAATATTGATCGCAATATTTGGGCATGGCAGTACTGTGGTAAAGTGTCAGGGTCTCTGTAATTGATTCCATTGCAACTATTTCATACACACACACACACACACGCCGACACAGAGCAATACTATTTTATTCATCTTTGTGTGCAGATACATTTTTGTAGATGCATTTCGACTTTTAAAATAATGTTTCAAAACTAAACACTACAGAAACATTAATGCACGATGTGCTATATAAGCCCTGGCCAAAGGAAAGTATGATGTAGAAAAAAAATAACTGTTTTAGCAATTCAGAGGAGCGATGGGTAGAGATCAGTTTACACATGAGTGGTTAGATAACTGTTTATGGGAAAAAGAAAATGTGAGCTGAATCCTGAAGGAGGAAAGAATGTGCAGGGGCAAAAGAGACTGAAGGCTTATCTAGCCTCATGGAATGGCATTAGTAAAACTCTGCCGTGGAAAATTGAAGCAACCATTAAATTAATGTTTATGAGAACAGACATTTCTCATCTTTCTCCTAAAGAGAAATGGATAGGTTTGAACGACAAACTGCAGTTATCAGCCACCAGCCTTCCTTTCACTTGGTTAGGGTACCTTATTTATTTATTTTTTAATAAAAGGTCCAATCAAGATATTCTGAAGGTATCTGCTTGGCCAATTCAATGTCAGGCAGAAAGGTCAGGCCAGAGATTACGGCAATTTCTTTTTAAATTCCAAAGGGGTAATCTTGTTCGATGTTCCTGAAAGACATGGGTTAATCACGGGGGATTATTATGAAGAGGTTTTAAGAAAATATAAAATGACGTTGAAGAAAAAAATCCAAAAATGTTGCACAGAATTTTTTTGCTCTCACAACAATGCACCTACTCATTGTTCTAGTCCCGCAGCAGTGACTTCCATGGGAAAGCGTTATCCTACAAGCCTTCAACCTTATCTTTCCCCTTATGAATTCTTTTTTTGTTGCCAAACTGCAATAATTTTTAAGAGGAACGTGATTTAAGTCCCTTGAGGATGCCAAAACTGTCATGTTGCCATGTGTAGATGGCAGATTGAAGAACTCTCATGAAGGGTTCTGCAGGGAAAGGGCAGTGGGTGAAAACGCTACCTATCCATGCG